CCTGCACAAAAATTGTTTTTTTAACTTTTTTTTTCTATTTTCAAATTTTTGTTTTTAGCGTTTTTGTGCAACCCCTCCCTCCCGCCCCCGCAAAAAAAAATATTGTTTTATATATATTTTTAATTCTAGTTTTTTTCATTTTTCAGTTTACAGGTTCGTAATTTTACAAGTCCAAAGTTATAAGTACGGAGGTTTATGTATTTGGAAGTTTATGGGTTTAGAAATTATAAAGTTTACGGGTTCAAAAGTTTAGCGGTTCGGAAGTTTATGAAATTTGTGGGTTTCGGAAGGTTGTTGGTTCGAAAGTTTATGGCGTCATGTTTATTGTATCTAAATTATTTATGAATACTCTTGAGAAGTTATTTTCCTTAATTTGCGTACCAAACACCGAAAAATGAGTAAGATTACTAGTTTTCCAAGAAAATATTTTCTACGGAAAACATTTTCCGTTATACCAAACACACCCTTAGTCTTCGTCAAATCTTTTCTTCTCATCGCTCCCTTTAAATTTAACAACAAAAGTTTGTTATATATTTGACAAACTCCAAAAGCATTCACTTTTATCAAACTTAAACGACCAAAACTGTTCAGAATTATTTTAGACCTATTTCTAAACATAAGAGGCCATTTTAAAATTATTTTGTCGTAATCAATGAGTACCATTATGGAACAATTGGTGTCACTACATTGTTGATCTCCGTTTCATAACATCATCTTTTTGAGTGAAACGATGAAAATCTACTAAATCGGGGGAGCAAGAAGAGACTATAGGCCAACTGATGGTTAAACAAATAAATGATGCAGTAATTTGCACCAAGAAAGAAAAAAAATAAAAAAGGAATAGACAGTCGAACACAGTAAACTTATAAGCCAGCAACCTCACTTGTGGCTGCCTGCGACATGACCTCTTTGCTAAAAGATAACATGCTTATGTTTCTTTTTCTTTTACATAACGGTGGTGTCGCGACCAACTTGCACGCACTACAATTAGACCAATAAGGGATCATTTGGTAGGATATATTTGGGAAATATAAAACATGTATTAGCTTTGATATTATTAATCCCTTGTTTGATAGTGTTTTTCAACCTTATATATAACAATATTACACCCTATTCAGTACTATTCTTAATAATTCTTATACATAATAATAACCATGATTTTTAATACATGGATAAGCATAAATAAAGATAGAAACTGCCCGTTCAGAACCTTTAATACACCAAATCAAATAGTCGTTATAAAATAATCTCAATATAACTAATCTCAGCATTACTAATACACTCTATTCAGTACTATTCTTATGCACCCAACCAAACAACCCCAAAGTATGTTTTACCTTCCACCAGTATGTATCCTAGATCAATTAAGGACAATATCACGTAGGTTGCTACTTAAGTTTGGCCTAACTGATTGTGAAGTAGCACCAAATAGGTTCCAAAGAGTACTGCACAGCAAACACTACTATACAGTATTAAAAGCATATTACATCAAAACCACTGTTCAGAGGGCGGAATTAAAAAATTGATCTTTCATTTCGCCCACGGCACAGTATATCAGGTTGAGGGCAAAGGGAACAGAAAGGAAAATTTCACGGGAGCGAACGTAAACTCATATCACAAGAGATCTTATGCTCGCAGGAGATAACATCTCACATCCATTATTCTATCAGAGTCTATTCAACTTTCATTGGGAACAAACTTGTTCGTTTAACAAATCATCGTATATAAACCACTAAAATTTAATACATCATACATCCATATCGAGAGTGATAAAAGCTCCCTTACGAACAAAAAGTTGGTCACAAGTACCAGAACTTAATCAGAGAAAAGGTATAGGAAGCCTTAACAGAAGCAATAAATACTATGCTCCATTCTCTGTTCTTGAGATCATTTTCTGAGCCAACATCTTTTCTATTATCATCTTGAGTGCAGGGGCACTTGCGCGACACTTATCATCTGAAAAGCAAGATCGTCCTTCTTCAGCTGCTTTACATAGCTGAGGATCCAGGGGTACTTTCCCAAGAAAAGGGACACCCATATCACCGCACATCTTTGCTGCACCTCCACCACTGCTATCAAAAACTTCACTAAAAGCAACCAAGTTTAGCATTTCCGGGGCTTTTTCTCTCATATAAGCCATGGCCCACTCGGTCATGTCTTTTTGCTCACCGGTCTCTGTCATTCTCATGAATTTGAATTCTGTGAGTGGTTGGGAAAGACCACTCATGTTCTCAACAACACCAAGAACCTCCACCCCAACTTTCTTACAAAAACTAACTTCTTTCCTCACATCTATCAGCGATACCTGTTGTGGGGTGGTGACTATAACTGCACCATCTATTCCAGTTGCTTGTAGGAATTGAACAATTGAAATATGCTCATCTGAGGTCCCAGGTGGAGCATCAACCACAAGAAAATCAAGCTCTCCCCAATAAACTTCTTTGAGAAATTGCTTAATTAGCCCATTCTTGCGGGGGCCTCTCCATATGACAGCTTCATCAGGGTTGGGGAGCATGAAACCAATCGACATAACCCCAAGGTTAGACTCAACATAAACAGGGGACCATCCAATGTTGCTCTGGTGAATTTCTTGCCCTTCTAGACCAAGCATCTTTGGGATGCTGGGGCCACATATATCAATGTCAAGAAGACCCACTTGAAAATCCATAGCCGCCAATGCAAAAGCAAGTTGAGCTGAGAACGTACTCTTACCAACACCGCCCTTACCAGACAAAACCAGTATTTTGTGCTTCACAGTTGCCATTCTTTCTACTATGGCAACCAAGTCTGCATGAAACCAGATACACAAAAAGTTGGAAAACGAGTAACATATGTTTAAATAAAGCCTATTCTGCTATCACGCACAAAAGTTGACAGGTAAAATTTAAGCAATTAGGAAAAACAACAGCGGGAATATACAGCACACATTGGACCTCAGAAATGTCCCAACTTCGTACTTAAACAATCTAGTCAGTATTACACTATCAACCAAATTATCATTCAACTTTCGAGAACCTAGGGTGTCTGCAAACTAGGTCTCAGTATCAAACAAATTAATTCATTAGAAAGCGTCAATCAACAATATTGAAGCTTCCTTAGTTACTTACTGCAACACATAAGAGCTACTTGAGTTACACTATGTGTGTGTGTGTGTGTATAACAAAAATTAATGTACCAAGACAATAGTTCTAAAATTAGAAAACGTAACATCTGAATGAGAACTAGATGCCTCTGCCTGGGAGGTGCTTGATTTGATTTAAACATTCTATAGTGTGAATGTTCGCACATTTTGTGTAGAGAAGATCCTTTCTTTCTCTCTTCTAGATTAACAAAAATGAGTCATGGTGGTAGCAGTATAATTTTATTGTTGCTCATTCCACAAAATGAATCTTCAGAAAAATAGAATTCCTTCAACTTCTTCTTAATTGCCTTCTTGCTGCACAGACTAAAAACCCCTGTCCTACCAATCATTGCAAAGCATACACTTTGATGCTCCGTATTTCTCTTTCTTTCTCCATATGACATGCAAAGTTAAGTCTTTCTTTTTTTGATTGGTAAAGTTTATGTCTTTCAGTGATCTTCAGTTAAAAGTGTATCCTTTCTTTCTTAAACTCATTCCCAAGTTAAGGATTTAAAATTCTGAACTAATTCCTGAGTTGATGATCTTAATAAGATTCAGACAAATTGAATTAAGCATCCTTCCTTTATGACGTTAGGTACTGTATGAGCATGGGTATATAGCCAAGGACATCAAAAAGACATAATGCAATAAAGAACAAACATGACTGAAATTACTGTGAAAAACTTTGGTTTCTAAACAGCAAGCAGCCAACGATAATATATTGTATGCATATGTATCTTGTATTTCAGCAACAAGTGCACTCTAACTGCTAATTGTGCTTCATATGTAATGAAATTGCCGATAGTTACTTAATAATAGTCCCTCCATTGTGTTTCATTAACATAGTTTAACCACCCTGACTATTAAAAAAGAAAGATAAAGATATTATGCTGAGGTTACTTTGAACTATGTATATACACAATCTTGTAATAGTACTATAAGTGTTACCAAATGACTACATTCCGAATTCTAGAAGAAAGAAGCTTTTACCATTTTTATAATGTCAAACTAATTGGGACGGGATGCCTTTCTCTTAGCATTTGAAATAAAGCAATTGATTTTTTCCCATCCCCATAAGCTTTGGCGCGCAGAGTTAACCCCATAAGATACATAATCCAATCCAAGTGTGCACAAGCTAGCACGACACTAGGATATTAAAAAATAAAAGGAAGAACATTCCAAGCCACAAAAATTGACACCTAATATTTCAAGGCAAGAAAAAACAAGTTCAAACAAAGTATTTTACAAAATCATATTATGCACGATTAGAAGGGGAGCCTTGGCGTAACGAGTAAAGTTGCTGTCATGTGACCAGGAGGTCACGGGTTCGAGTCGTGGAAACAACCTCTTACAGAAATGCAAGGTAAGGCTGCGTACAATAGACCCTTATGATCCAG